AGTTATTAAAATTCAGTAAATTAGAATAGTAACGTTTCATCTAATATTATTTTCTAGAACCTGAAAATTATTTGTCACCAGGCCTACCGTTTTTGCTTGATCTATAAAAAGGGCAGAGCCCAAACGGCGTGTTTTTGTATTATCTGTCTATTGCAGTTGTCATGAATTGTAGTTGGTCCAAATCAAGACATAATTAATAAAAAGCTAAAAGCTTGTTCCATGCGTCAAAATTCAAATATAATATTGGGAATAGACATTACCATTTCCATTTAGTTTGTCCAAATTTATAAACAAGAAAAGATACATAATGACTCCACCAAGAAAAAACACACTCAGACTAAAATATAAAGAAAAACCATCCTTTTCCACGAGTCTTTAGGTTCTTTGTGTATGGCTATCTCGAACCACATCTTGCAGTGGAAAGCTCTTCATCAGATTGTATCCTGCAAGTAGATCTATTATATTAGTAAAGATACATCAGGTAATGTAATTACAATTTCTGAGTACTGTAATATTACCTATCACGAAACCGCCGAATATCCGGAATGTCAGCATTGAAAATAAACTCACAATACTTTTTTTCTAGTGATGACATTAAAAGTACCTATCACAGATAACTAATACAGCAATTTAATCGAGAGTACTCTATTGTAATATGTGAACAAAATTAACTTTATGTAGCAAAGGAATACCGTCATAATTTTTATTGATATTCCACCACCTCAGGATACAGATAACTTCTACATCGTGACTTTGTTTACATTGCAATGCAAAATCTTCAGCCAATTTCCCCATAGCATAACACTCGATCACACGTTTTCTAGATAATAAAATGTTCTAACAATCAGAATCATTGATATTGTTTAGCTTGAATATTCAATTTATTTACCTGTCATCTTGAAGCTCAAAAGGAATTATAGCGTAATTTTCTTGTATCTTTGCATCATCAAAAATCTCGAGCTCACCAACATTCACAAGAACACCTATTAATTCTGTAGAAATTAGGTAGTCATATTTTGGTTCTTCTTTCTTACTGTTTATCATAATCGACTCTATTATTTATGAACGAAGAAGTTACCAATACTACACGTGTCATCCAAACGGCCTCCAAGAACATTTCCAAAATCAGCGAATGATAAAAACAGAGAATTTAAACGTTCGCTGACCGAAAGAAACATTGTATTGGTAACGAACTTCACCTTAAAAGGGTGCCTTACCACACGAGTTATAGCATTCGAAGTCTTAACAACAAAACCACTCAAAAGACTCCAAACGACCTATTATAAGGTCATGTTCAAATAGATGGATATATTTATGTCCAATAGAACCTTGTATCTTAGACCCCTGAAAATAATCATGCAATATTCAAATAGGACATGAAAAACCTTATAATAAATAAAAATAAGAAACAGTTAGTTACAATTTCGATCAATAAACTTACATGGATATCAACAAAGATCAGCTTTAGTTTATTTCGGCGATGTCTATCTTTTTCATGCCATTTCTTGAGCAGCATAACATCAAGAGCAGGTTCGACAACCAAATGATCTATTTCAGAAACTTTTAAAAACTGCGACATCTTAAAACAACAATGAGAATCAAAAATATTGAAGTAAAACAGAGAATTTTTGCGATGAAGAACTATGGCAAGTCACTTTATCAGTAAATAAGATAAGAGAGGGGAAACAGTTCTCAGAATAAACATCGAGTATATCGGCCATTAGAATATTATTATTTAGGTATACTGTATTCGTAACATCGATCGTCTATAAATTGCAAAAACCGAGGTATATGTTTGGGAACATATAACTTCATATTACTGATAAATCATAATAAATTGTTCTCTTTTAACAGCCATTAAGCCTAAATTTTTTCGAGTTTTACGAATTCAGCCCAAATAACGTAAATAATAGAATACAATTTTCATGTCCTTATATAAAAAATCTCTAAGTATTACACGACTTTCAGAAAAGAGAACCCTAACTCAGAGTATAACGAATGACAATTCTACCAATCCACTTACCCAAGTCGAATATGGCTAAAACAAAACTCGAAGGCTGGATGGACGCTAATCGTGAGAATTACGAAGCGATGCGTTATCTCTACACAGAGTTTCCAACCAAGTGGGTTTGGTATCAAAGGATTAGAAAGTGGCTCCTTCGTAAACGCGACAGAAGAAACAATGTTCCCTATGATATACAATTTTCAGACGTCCCTGAAGAATCTGGTGAACTTTTCTACCTCAAAACACTGCTACATGTACGAAAAGGACCAACGTGCTTCGAATATATCAGAACAGTAGACGGTGTTACATACCCAACGTTCGCGGAAGCATGTATTGCAGTACGATTAATAGAAGCACCCGACGTGTGAGAGAAAGAGAAGAAAGATAAACACACCTATATTATATTTTGGGTTTTAATGGGTTTTTGATTATTTATTATCCGTAAGCTTTTACTTAATACCTAAGATAATTATAAGTTAAGGTTTTATAAGTTATGGTTTTTTCATATTACTGGGTTTTATTTTCTGGTTATATTCATTCAATAAATAATAATATACTGAACTAAAAATTTTTAGTTTATTCAATACTCGTAATTTGAGATTTTTATATCTAATAGAACAATATGTAAATCATATTAAGCTGTAATATAATTTTATAATAGCTATTTTTTTATAGATAATATGCAATTTGAAATCATATTGCCATATGTATGACTTGTATACTATGTTATAATTTCTGTGTTTAGAGAATACTGATGTATAAACGTAAAATCAACCATTACTTAAATATAGTATTTATTAAGAATGATCACCGAAGCATAGTTATAAAATATAGAATTTAAAGCATAATAACACCTTAAAAACAAAAAAAATAACAAAATCTAGATAAGAAGTCCTATTAATTAGTGTATGTTAAATAACGAATCACTTTGTTTGCTTAGCAAAAACATCATGTGATGGAGATCTCCATGCAATGACGAACACCATCTAGTCTGTTACTTGTTCAGCAAACTACATATCAATATATTATACAAACATAACATCAGTAAGCCACATATAAGCCACAGAATTCATAAAAATTAGAGGATCAACATAAAGTTATATGATATACTCACTTTGATCTGAATTCTTCGACCTCTGTAATAGAAGGGTTCAATAAAAATTGCATTGGGCCAACTGCTTTTATAGTCACAACTCCTAAAACATTTGTTTAGCTATAACATGGTTTTCCAAAAAAATATTTATGGATAAATAGAAACATTAAAAAATAAGTTAAGATTATACCTGCATGAACACTGATAACACCCCATCGAATCACACAGACAACAGCACCAGCACAACAGTCCAACCATTTCTTAAAGAAACCGACTGCTATCTCATCAATGAACTGACACTTCAAACGAACATTGCTACAATCAAAACAAACTATAATCAAATAAGAGTTTAAAAATTATACATCAATAACCAAATACCAATAGTAATAGCCAACTTTGTATTTTTCATCTCGAATGTAACAGTTCCACCAGTGATACTCATATCAAGTACATGCCCACCCCACGTGTTATATCCTTTAACATTGACAACCCGACCAATTATATCTAGAACAAAACATTACAAATCAATAACCAAAGCAACAAAAAAAAAAATTATATGGACGTAAACTTACCAACTAAGTAATCGTCGCTCTGAACTCGATCTAAGATCATACGAAATTCAACAAAATAAAAAAAATTTCTAGCACAAAAAGTTTATCGCTGTTCATCGATAATCGTTGGTCTAGAAAGAATATTCTACTAAGATGGGTGGTAGCATGATATTTTCTAACTTCATCTACTACCACGAATTTTCATAGAGTAACCTACACGCCTTCGCTCCAGAGTATAGAGAAACGGTTATAGTGCAGAGCGGGTATCGTACCCTGTATCCAAACACCCTATCAACAAATTGTAAATATTTATTAGCATAAATATGATAACAACGAAAACATAAATATCACGAAACTGTGAACAATACCTTAGACCAACCCCAATGCACACACCATAGGGTCTGAAAAAGTGTTCCAAAGAATAAAAATGAATAAAAAAATAAAACTGGTGTCTTAATATTAAGACCGAGATCTAAAATTGGATCTTTTGTTTGATTTAAGAACGGTGACGTGTTCTGTTATCATTAGATGGCTAAAACAAAACAATAAAATAAAAATAAAAAAAATTCTCAAATCATTTTTCCGTCTCTCTCTTTGTCTTCATCTCCCTTCGTCTTTCCTCTTCCTCTTCCTCTTTGCATGCGATCGAATCAGTGCCTGAAAATATTGAAGAATGAAAAGGATACACAGATTAAATAATTGAACCAATTCTCTCCTCGATTACTCGAGTCCGGGCAAATTCGGGTAAGTAACCAAGTGAAAATTTTTCATTTGTCTGCATTTGAAATTGATGATCTTTGGATTTGGTAAACCAAAATATGCGATTAATTAGTATTTTCAAACGCATCAATGAGTCTGTGTTTCACTCATGGATTTGGATTTCTTTCTGAGGTGGAGCATGTGGTGAGAGAAGAGAAGACAGTGGCTGCTTATGTTTCCGTTGAGATCAGACACATCTCGGTACTCCGTCGCTTCCGGAATTTTCCAGATCAATACTGGAGTTTCTACGTTTCAGCGGCTTGTCAACACACTCGGTACTCCCAAGGACACGCCGGAGCTCCGGGAGAAGCTGTAAGTTGAAGAAATCGAAACCCTTAATGTCGTTTTTAAGTTTCGATTCTAATTGATTTGTGGGATTCGGTTTATTTTGGATTGAAATTGTTTAATTGGCGTAGGTACAAGACACGATTGCATATTGGGCAGCTTGTGATCCAATTATTCCCGTTTTGCAAAACATCCAATTATGCTGTCGAGTATCGTGGAGGGAAGACTAAAGAGGAGAAGAGCGTTGATTGTTATGGACGCCAAAATAAGGATTAGACAGAAGGAAGTTGAAGAAGACGAGGAGAGAATGCAAAAGAAACGTCTGGAATCATCTTTTTGTAGTACAAGTACAGTGGTACGTGTTTTTGTAGCCAAGTAACAAGTACAATGGTACGTGTTTTGTGATGATGACGATGATAATGATGATAGTTCTTGGTTGGTTCGTGTTTGTGTAGCCAAGTAAGAAGATTGCAGATGCTAAGCTTGCAAAGGACTTTCAAGCTGTGTTGAAAGAGTTTCAGAAAGCTCAACAAACAGCTGCTGAAAGAGAAACAGCTTATACTCCTTTCGTGCCTCCATCCGCCACTCCTTCTAGGTAACGATTGTTCTCATGGGTTCATTTTACATTCAGCTCAGTTCTGAATCAAGAATGGGAATTGCATGTGTGGTGGTCTAAAAGCAAAAGCATTACTTTTTGAATTACAAGTGTGATGATGTTAAGCCAAAAGTTTCACTTCGTGAATTGTTAGTCTGGTTTTTAAAATTATGTTTCTTATTTTTATTTGTCTTGGCTTCGATGTGATAGCTATACAGCGAGTGAGGAAAAGGTCCCGGAACAGAGGGCACAAGTTATGGAGTCAAGAAGGTTGGTGATATAATGAAAAGAAAAATCTTATACACATCTCTGTTCGTTTTTGTGAAGCAACTTATCTCTCCTCATGATTGATTGTTGCAGACAGGAGCTTGTGTTGTTAGACAATGAGGCTGTGATCAAAGAAAGGGAGAGTAAAGGAAGAGTCTTTGCATTGCAAGACGAACCTGAGGTAGCTCGTGTTTGGTTACCAAACAGCGATTCACCTGGTTTAGCAATGGCTCGAGCTTTTGGCGATTTTTGTCTCAAAGATTACGGTTTAATCTCAGTCCCAGATATCAACTACCACCGCCTAACAGAACGAGACCATTTCATTATTCTTGTTAGCGATAGGGTAAATACAATCCTTCAACCTTCCATCGCTTGTCACTAAACTGCAATTTTTTTTTTGAAAATATTGTTTGTTTTAATTGAACGGTTTTTTCAGATTCTCTATTGCAATTATGTAATTTCTATGTTTCTATGTATTTTATTTTGAAAATGTTTTATGTTTTAACATAAGTTTTAATTTAAGTTTATAAATTTTTTTTTTTTTAAAGACACCCATCAAAATGTCTCTATTGTAGGATTAAAAATAACCAAATTTTGCAAAGGGTCTTAAATACCTAAATATTATAAATTAATCATTAAGACCCTTTCCAACGGTGTTACCATTGGGGTTGCTCTTATCGTTACTCAGAATAACCTCCATTCTTTTACCGCTCGGATGTGTAGCATGTGTCCAGACATGCAATATCTTTACCCTAATCGAAGACTCAAACATTCCAGGATGTAAAAGGGAAACAACTGATCGAGGCCTAACATTTTTAACAGGTGCATCGCGAATAGGGTCAGGAAGAATTTTTACCATATTCAAGAAACCGACTCTCAGACTTGATAGGGGTTACAGGACAAGCAAGACGAACAGCGTTTGATTTTTTTGTATCGACATCTGGTTCATAATCAGTATCTTCGTCGATATCAGAATCAGAAGTATAACCATCGCTATCAGAACTTTCGTCAGCAGAGTCGTCAGGGCACCCATCACTAACTACCTCTTCATCAATACCTTCCAAATCATCATCGTCATCTTCGTCATTGTCCACATCATCATCATACTTAAAATCCTGATCCATATCATAATCATCATCACTGTCATCATCTATGGATGAGGCCCCTGAGGATGTATCCATGTCGAAATCATCATCACCAGCAGTAACTATATTTTTTATCAAAGAATAAAGTTACATATAAGATACTTATGCAAAAGTATTATATATACTCGAAAGATAATACAGTAAGCAATATTTCATTACCCTGGATAAACTGGTACATCGTATTATATTCTCGATATTTATTCTTAGAACAGTGGCAAGTCCCCTCCGGCAATAATTCTTAACAAAAAATAATTTTAGTTATGTTTAGACAATAATAAGAGCATGTGAGTACCAGAATTAAAGTTACAAATCAGTAATCGATTACTATATTCAGAAAAATACAGATAAAGAACCATTCCGTGAGACCAATGAAAGCTAGTTTTCCGAATGCATGCAGAACAATCAATCCAGGATGTGTTTTTATAGTGGACATGAATTAGGGTTTCTTAAATATCCAAATATTCACGGGATAATAACTATAAATTATAATATCTATATTGTTTAATTCATATATATCTATATCATAATATATGAAAAGTATCCAGTTATTTTCTATAATATACCAAACTCTACAAAAAGAATAAGAATTTCGGGAAGTTTAACATTAGTATTTGATATAAATAGTAAAACTTATTATTATAGAATATTTGGTTTATTTTGTAAACTATTAAAATAGGAATGATGTTAATATATTGTATCACGACTATGAACTTTTTATAACGATAATTTAGTCACTACTAACTTTAAATAAAGTTTAAGCATGTTCATACAAACTATAAGCATGTTCATACAAACCAAGAAGTCTTATAAAATAATATGGACCAAGGATAATATGATCGAATTAATTAATAACATGATAATATATTTCCCCAAAGAAATTGATTTTTAAATCGTTGGGCCGAAACAAATTATTCTCGTTTATATGTATGTTTTTGGGCCAGTGATTACTCCTTTGTTGGCCCAAAACAGACGATATACTAAGACACTTTTCTAACTCTTCGGTTTCCTAACCAAACAAAACTTAGATCTTCGATAGATCTTATTCAGATAAAACCAAGTAAGTCCTAGATATGATCCATTGTTACTTGGTACAAAATCGTTCGATTCTATGTTATATATGGAAACATCGAGATTGTTTTCACTTAAAAGTTTCCAGGATTGAATTTTCAATTTCGGTCTCAAAACCTTAAACGATGCATATATACAGAAGAGGTAGCATTTCATTGATTCTGTAACATAATTTGTTTTATTTGGATTTGTTGTTCATCATCGTGTAATCGGATTAAGAGAAGTACATCATTTTTAGGTATATGATTATGGAATTGTCTGACTAAACTATTTACAGGTTTCTTTTAATATAAAATATATATATTACATTACCTCATACATAAAACTTATAAAGCAATAGCAAGAATTAAACTGAACAAATTATCGTCCTCATTGCCAAAAAAATAAAATTGTTTCAAAAATATAAATCCATAATTAAAAGTTAACCACAACATAATATTTTAGAAAAATATAAAACAATATCTTAGTCAGAGTCTTCGTCATTGCCATTCCTGAAATAATAAAAACAATATAAACAGTTGGTTTTGAGAACTATGAATAAAAAGGTAAAGCACAGTTTAAGCTTTATTATACTTACAATGCACGCTTAAACCTTCTAGCCTCGGAAATGTCTGGATCATACAAAACCCTCGATGCTTCTCCAGCATCCACCAGTTGAACATGTTCTATATAAAAGGATCACATATTAATCGCTAAATAAAATGGTACAGATTAAAAATATAAATTAACATCAAAATTTATATGTAAACATACCTCCAACATTGATAACACGAAAATCACCTAGGACACAAACCATGGTATTCGAGTTAAAGTTCCACCAATTCTTAGTAATTTCAAGTGCAAGTTTTCCATGAGCAACACAACTTAAATTTGTCTCTCTGTAAGAAGTAAACGTAAATATTCACAAAAATAGATAACTTTTAGATGATTCAGGATAAATACCGAAATAATACCATCCATATATATTCATTCGACTTTAAATTAAAACGTACTGTGTGTTATGGATAACAAATGAGAGCTGGCATGTGTTGGCAGGACATAAAGGCCCAAAGTCAGAATCTTTTACTTTGACAATATCCGTAAGCATAGATACCCGACCTAAGACATCTGAAAATAAGACAAAAAAACTTAATCTATTAACTCATCATTAAGTACACAAAAATATCTAACTTAGAAACAAAAACAAAAATACTTACGAATTGGTACATCATGATTAAATCTTCCATTGATAACATCATCGAAACTTGTGAATTTCATGTAGTGTTCGTCAGTTACATCATACTCCTTCCCCACGTCAGTGTTATCGAGTAGACGAATTTTCCACTTACAATCAACCAAACGATTAACTGTCTCCCTTTCAAAGACCGTAAAATGATGTAACTTAAACCATTTTCCAACAATTAGTTTCGTTCTATATAGGGCTGATTCCGGAGATCATCGCATATAGCATGGATTTTATAACCCTACCAGATTTTATTAAACGGTAAATTAGACAAACATACAATCAGAAGTTAACTAAAATATCAAAAAGGATGAAATAAAATATACCTCTTCATCGACGAATATGAAGTTTAACACTTTGGTTTCATCTTGAGAATGGGATTCCCAACACTTAAAAATCATGACACGGATGTGCCAGTTAGATCTCCACTGATTGAGATCTTTGATATTGTAAAACAAAAGATCCATCCTTAACAAAAATCTAAAACTGACAGTTTTAAAGACAGGATAAAGAGGTAACAGGTTTCGGGTGATAACATCTGTTCTTATATGAAATATCATTTATAGAGTTTGAAGAATCAGGGTTTTCGATGACATCGAAACGATGCATCTCAAATTGAAAATTTGAACTCTCATCGAACCTATTAACGAAAAGACGTAAATGATGCCTATTAGAAAAACATAAAAATATTATATATCCATATATGTATCTATTTCTGAAAAGATCATCATAATTACTAAAACTATGTCCAATAAAATAAACTATTTCTGTAAACAAAATAAACAAAAAGTAAGTATTAATATAACGGTTCTATTATTCGTTTCATCCACAGTTGATGCTTATTTTAAGCTTTATATAAATTGTATTAATTTCATAAAATGTCTATACGATCAGGAAAGCATCAATTGCATAAATATGTGAATTGGTGAAAAATTGGGCGTGCGGATGATCACACATAATTATTTAGTTATATAATGAGGCCAAATAAGAATTTATGATCCTTATATTGACTTATTAATCATTGAATTTTTGTATGTATTTTATTCCAGAGTATGTTTAGTAATCTCTATATTTATTTATAATTTACAGTACTCAAGTTTATAGTTATTATCAAGCTTAGAGTAATCAAATTAATAACAATGATATGACTAATGTAAAGATTAATCAATGTATATAACATCAAATCACCAATGAATAAATGAATACTCATAACGAAATCAGCAATTAAAACTCTTTATATATAACACCATAAATAATTTTATTGCAGTAATTGTAAATGCTTGAATTTTAATAAGGTATGAGAAAGTGTTTATGCTGTATCCTCAGCGAATGATCTTCTAAACTCATGGACTTCTGTAAAAAGTGGATCGATAAAAACTTGTGTGCAATTACACGCTGTTGTTACAATCCAAACACCTGCGCATAATAGAACAAATATTTCAGTTAATTTTTAAAACATCGTGAATTGAGGATAACCTCTACGAAATTCAATCCTCGCAAATCTGATGACACCAATAATGTTTTCTCTATGGATACCTCCAAACGAAAAAAGAAACTCAGAAGCATAGTCTCCTGTTAAACAACATGGTATATGACAATCCCTGTCAACATATAACATATCAAAATCATAGTTAGGAATTTTTATTTTTAGGAGTGTACCTATGGTTCACAAAATCAAAACATATAATTTTTTTTTCTGAAATCATCAAGGAATCTTTACGCTGTAAAAAAATTCCGACGTTTGTAATCCTCCCAATCAAATCTAAACAACATAATAATTATTATTAGATTCTATCAAAGATAAGGATTACGAAACATGTGTTTGTATATACATACCAACAGATAAATCTGGATTGAGATCTCCATTTTTAACATCCTCAAAACGAACAAAAGCAAAATCGCTCCTTGATATGTTATTGTATGTAATATAGCATTCTGTGTGTTCAG